TGATGACCTTGTCAACTTCCAGAATAGGACTAGCAGGAACATGTGTCCACTTTATTACTAACAATGGCTAATACGTGAGTGCTTACTATGTGCCAGACACCATATTCAGTGCTCTACATGCATTACCTCATTTTATCCCACAGTAGCACCTACTTGGTACGGGTTTTATTTCCTCCATCTACGGATGAAGAATTGCAGGCCCTGAGAGGTCGACCTGCCCAGGTGGCTGCCCAATGGCTCAGCCTCAGCAAGGCAGTTGGAGATTTTAGCCATCTGGTCTACCTCTCCAGCCATCATTCACACTCCTTGCGTTCCAAAGCCTAGCCATCCTAAACCACTTAGGATTCTTCGGAATGACAGTGTGCTTAACTACACCCTATCCCCACCCCATTCTTGCCTTTGCACATGGCTTTTCTCTCTTCTCACTGAACCACGCTCTCCTTCCATTGGACAGGAAGTTTTATTCCATGCGTGAATGAAAGTAAGACTCCTGTAAAAATTCATTAGTATATTTAAGATTCAAGAGGTGCTCTGGTAGGAAATACCAAAGCTTTCTCCATAACAAACCATTTTTGCAAAGTAGTTTCTTATCTCAAAGCCAGATTTCCCTACACAGATTGCCTAAGGTTGTCTTTCCTCTGTTCTCCTGACTCCTCCCCTACCACCCACTTTATCCCTTCCCTCCGGCTCCAGCCTTCAGGAAAGATCTTCAGGAAAGATCCACAGTGACCTTTGGCCACTGACCAAGAGGTTGATCTGGGAGTTTGCAGCTTTCCATTTAATAGCTGTCCACCCCTTTGCCTTGGGCCTCCATTTCAGAGGAAAAGGACACACTTTGTTTTTCAAATCATCTTCAATTTTCACCACATCCAAAATTAGCCATTGGGCTTGGTGACAGGACACCCATACGTAACACGCCTTGCCCAAGGCACCTGATGTCAAGCTATTGGTTTGACACTGCACTGAGAAATGAGCATCCAATGGTTTAAATGACTTTTTGATTTACAGACACAGCATCCTTTCCATGTTTTCAGAGAATTTTAAACACATCATCACAAGGAAGAGGACATGGGATGGCCTCATAGATATAATGCAATACATATCATAGGGCAAATGTAACAAACATTAAATATTTAACAGAAAACTTTTCAATTAATCAAAAAGGTTTTGACTGATGTGTCAAAACTACTTTTTTTTTTAAACTGAATCAATGTCTATTTGTCATCTGACATGGAAGCACTTAAAGGCTACTTTAAATAAAGTATGCTAAAAAAGATATCCAGTACAACAATACTGATAATAGCAACAGAGAGAGAAGAGAGAAGAGTAAAATGGAAATAAAATAAACCATGCCTATTTTTTATTTTTCTGCATATTTATAGAGCACCTACTATCAAGGCACCAGGCTTAATGCTGCGGACACAATGGTAAAAAGACAGACAGGGCTCTGCCCTCACAGAGCTTCCATTCTTTATGGGAGACAGAAACTAAAATAATTACACTGCATATTTTCTTCCAGCAGTTATGACAATATTCTGTCTTAAATAAATAGTGTATAGAGGAAATAGTGAAATAATATACAGACATTTTAAATGATGTTTAAGAGGCTTTAATAATAGTAGAAAATGTTATTACAAGAATAGTATTAATAGTATAGAATATTAATAGTATAGAATAAAAGAAAGAAACAATTTTATAAGCATATGATCTCATCAATGTTTAGAAAAAGACATAAAAGGAAGATTCAATGGCTGTAAAATCCACCTATAAGAATAAATTATAGAGAATGGCTAAGAAAAATGATGAAAGAAACTTCTGCTCCCAAATAGGGAAATAATATATATAAAAGAATGTATATAATTAGTTAATGAGAAATGGAGCAAGAATCCATGAAGACCAGGGGTTCAGGACAAATATCTCTACAAGGGTCTGTCTCTGGACTAATACTTTAGAATATGGTTTTGTAAATGTTTCAAAAGTGGCATTTCAAGCCAGTGAGAAAAGGATAAACTAGGCAATAACTAGTAGGTTAACTATTTCGAAAAATAAACAAACTTAGATCTTTATATCACATCATAAATTCTAGTGCAACATATGATAGTATAAATCTCACTAGTAAAGCTGAAAAAAATATATATCATTTATGTAGTAATAATCCAAAATATCATTAAATGACTATTAAGTTTCCAACAAAAATTCCAAATGCATTTCAATGTTAAAATTTAGAAAACATTAAATGAAATTTAGGAAACTACTAAGCTGATTTTCGGGTGGGCAGGTATTCTAAGCATAAAATAACCATTTTAAAGGCTGAAATATTTTACAACAGACACTTAAAATCAATTTCTACACAGAAAAAAATCATAGCATATATCCCACACCATAAACATAGTTATCACACAATAAATATAGTTAAATGGCCAACAACTGACAGGGAAAAATGTTTGCAACGTATAGTAGCTAAAAGGTTGATGTTCTTCATATATGATACGCTCTTACAACCAACAAGATATACACATTCCAGTAGAAAAATGTGCAAAGGACACGAACATAACGGATGGAGAAATAAAAAAGATCGATAAATATATTTTAAAATACTCAACCACATTAGCAATGATAGAAATGCTAGTTTAAGATTAAATTCTATGTTTCATTAATCAGATGAAAAAATGACACTATCCAATATTGGGAAAGAGACAGTAAAAGGGACCCCGCTGGCTAGTGCATAAATTAGTACATTCTGCAGAGAAGGCAATTTGGTAAAATGTATGAAAAGCCTTATTCAAATCCTTTGACCCAGTAATTCTACTCCTAATGTATTTATCTAAAAAATAAATAAACAATCAACATTTCACCCAAAGACAACAACTGAAAACTAAGTGTCCATACTATGAAACTCATTAAAGTAACAGAACTGTAAAATGTAATACTATGCAACCATTACAAAAATTTAAGTTCTCAAAGCATTTTTAATGACGTGAAAAGTTCACAAATATAGCAAATGAAGAAAACGGGATATATCTCTGTAGCATGATCATAATTTTAAAAGATGTATACAAAAATATGTAGAAATAAAGTTAGCAATGGTTCTCAGGTGAAATTAGAGGAGATTTCAATTTTATTTTTCTTTTAATTTTCTTCCTTATACTTTTATAAATCATCCAAAAATTTTCTATAATGAACACGTTTAATAATCAGGAAAATGTAACTTAAAAAATATCTACAGTAAATACACCAAATGAACACAAGGATAGTAATACCACGGGGCAACTCTTTTTCCCTCTCTTTTAATTTATCTTTATTGAGCAAAGGATAACTTTTAAAAAGACCTAGTATGTTGACTGCCAAACACTGTCCCAAGTTGACTGATTAGAGGTGGGGGTTGGGGAAGGCAGTCAAAGGCCTTACAGGCGGGGCGGGGCAGGCCAGCCACAGTGCCCAGGGCCTCGGAGCACTCACTCCCCAGCACCACGGGACGGGGCCAGAAACAAGAACTGCCTTGGAGCCCAATGGGCTCCGTAAACATCACCCAACTTCTAGATGCTACATTTAGGCAAGAAAGCAGAGGCCCAGAGAGGAAAGCAAGACTGATCAAAGATATATCACAAGTGAGTAGCGTCTGACCTTCCATGAAAGAAACGAAAATGGCTGAAGCCATTCCACAAACAAGTACAGAGGTATTCCTCCACAGGGCCATGTCACCGTCATCAATGGCCACCGGCCTCCACAAAAGAAGCACAGATCTCAGGGCCCGAGCCAGGCGCCCTACTGCTGACTGAGTTTGGCTTGGTGACCCACTGAGGCCACAGGGCTACCCACAGGGAGAAGCATGCCCTTCCATCCGGCCGTGTCAACAACGGGAGGGGGCTGTTTCCACCCAGAGGCGGACACAGAGCCACCTGCTAATTCTGAGCTGGTTCCGCGGCCCAGAAGCTGGCAAGTTCAACAGTCAGGGGAGAGCTTGATGATCAGGCTGGACTTCCACTCCTGGCTGGCTCCCCAAATGGAGGAGTCAAAGTTCCACAGAGAGGAAGCAGCCCATGTAAGGCAACCTGCAACCACACTGCGGCTCCCCTGCAATTCAGTGCTACCCTCCAGAAGCCGCTGTGTCCCCTGCCCCTCTGCTCCTCCCATTTAAAATTGAGGGGCATTTAATCCACTTGAGGCCGAGGCGTCTATGAGGTGACCCAGGAGGGAAGTGCAATAAACACATACACATAATCACACAGAAACCACGAAAGCGCCATCCATCAGGACGCTGATCCACGGATCTGGATAAAGGGAATCAGCAATCGAACAGCCACTATCATACCAGGCAATTCACATACCTTCACTCTTTTAAACAAAAATTACACTTGTCATTTTACACATGAAAACACCGAAGCTCAGAGAAACAGAAAAGGCAGCTCACAGTCACAGAGCTAGGAAGTGCTAGAGTTGGAATTCTAACTCCAAAGCCCATACCATTTCTCTCAGGACGCAGCGAGCAATCTCGTCCCCATCGCCACATGGGCTTCTGTCCAGCACGTGTGGAATCCAGCCCCCGTGCTGCACTAGGGCAGGGCCACGCTTCCCACCACTGCCAGGTGCAGCTCCAGACAGGACAGCAGACCTAGTACACCAAAGGTGCTCAATCTATGTCCAGGAAAGGACATCAGTCGTGGTACAGTAAGTAGTAATCATAACAATGGCTGCCAATCACAGAGCATCTGCTCTGGGAAGGTCCTGTACGAGGAATGTTACATACATTACCCACATTTGGCCTGAGGGACAACACAGTTAATGTGTCCATTTTTCAGATGAAGACACTGAGGCTCAGGGAGGTCTCACAGCTAGAAAACAGAATCTACCTGACACCACAGCCTCCTTCCCAAACCCCACCTCTCCCACTGTGACGAGGTAATGAGGCCCAAAGGAGTCATTCGGGTCAACTCCCCATTCCTTCTGGACGGTGTCCCCAGCCCCTGGGCTCCGCCCTGGCCCAGTGTTCCAGCCCCTACCTTGGTTGAGGTAGGTCAGAGTCTCTTCATGCAGCTTCACAGCGGGGGACGTGGCGGCACACAGCACGTACTGCAGGGGTGGCAGGCGGGCCTCATTCTCGGGGGACAGCTGGGGCTCCTCCTGCTTGAAGATGGGCAAAGCGAGCACATCCCTGCAACACACAGGAGGCAGTGGTCAGGAGCAGAGCCCGGAGGAGCCCGTTGGCAAAGACAGAGCCAAGTTGGAGAGGTGGATGCAGACCACGGGCTTCCAGGGAAACACAGCAAAGCGCATCGCAGGCACTGGTTCACAAATACTCTAAGATGCTTTCAAACAGTAAACCAATCCTTGATGATTTTATTTTCACTCAACGACCCTCAAGAGATATATTCAGTCAAATCATCAAGGAGATAAAAATGCAAAGTTATCCAATACCTACAAATTACAGAAATCTCTATGACAAAGGGACTAGCAGTAATGGAGCGAACTTGAGATGCCACAGGGTTTCCATCCACAAGAGATTGCTTGTTATAAAGTCTCGCTTTTAGAATAAGAATCTGAACAAAATTTTAATCTTTTAAGCAAACTATTCTATTTATTGGCCACTTTTCAGACCAATACAACCCTGTCCTCTGGGCTCTGCAAACCACACAAATGCAGAAACCGTTTGCCTCACTCACCCAAGTTGAGACACCCCCCCCCCACCCTTCTAAAAAAAAGGACGGCTGGCCCATAACCCCTATTTTAAGGATGATACTAATGTCTCCTAAATGCAAAGCAAGAAGGAAGGACCTGGGTTTCAATTCAGTTTTCTTATCCAAATGGAAAATATTGAGATGCTCAAAGATTCTTTTCTTCCACCTTTAAACAAAATTCCCAGCCATATCCAAAATCATCAGCCTCGCATCAGTCTATGACCGGAGCACTTGCTTCTAGACGAATTTTTTAAATGCCCTTGCAAGGCAAAAAGAAATCCTTGAGAACTTGAATGACCTGCTAGCAGGAGAGACTTGTCTAAGACCTCTAAATTATGACCAGGTGCCCAAAAAGTGCTGTGCCCTTATCTTGGTAACCCTCCCTCCTCCGTGTGTCCTGCGTTATGAATCCGATTCGCTGACCCCTCTTCACCATACAAACAGCAGAGTCACTGGACTGGTACAATCTGTTCCTTGTAATAAACACAATAAACGAGTGTCTCTAAAACACAAACCAAGCACACGTCCCAGCAATGTCTGAGCAATTCCCTGGAAAAAAAGTCTGGTTTGCAGCACACCTGGAAAATCTGCTGTGTGGGGGCCTCCCCTGCCACCATCCGCTGCAGTACTGCCCGGCTCCCCACGCCGCGCCTTCCGTTCACGCAACCGGGCACCCGCCCAGCCCAGTGGTTATCTAGGAACGGGGGAGAAGCGGGCAGGCCTGCTCACCTGGGCTCGCATCACTTCATGTTTGCCCAGAGCATGTTAAGTTAATAATCCATGGGCTGCTGCCTTAAAATAAAAGTTGGGGGGGGGGTGCGGAGAACCATCACTCAACAGTAACTTGTTTCAAGCCTGGCATCCTTATTTGCCAAGGAATAAAAGTCACGAGAACATCAAACAGAGAAAGGGAAGAAGGGAGTAAAGGCCACTACTCTGGTGAGGTCAGACAGCCTGCAGACGTCCTGCAGAGTGAGGTGAGATCAAAATCAAAATACAAAAACCAAGGAAAAGGACAAGACCCTCACTCTCCAGTCAGGGGGACCAGTGGCATATTCACTGACCCCCACCTTAGGCTTCACTGAGGTCAACCTCTACAAGGGCAAAAACTCCAGCTTCTAAGAAGTGAAATAAAAAAAAGCATGGACCAAATGCTTCTTTCTCCATGGTCCCAAAATGACCCCAGAAACCAATATGGCTTTCTCTCCCCTCCCTTAATGCAATACCCAAATCCTAAAAGGGGCCTGAGGTATTCCACAGACAAATTTCCATCTCAGTTCCAGAGGCACCTCCCATGCCAGAGAACCATTCCCTAATGGGATGACATTTTAGGTATCCAGGAAGTTTTAAATATACTCGCCCTCCACTGAGGGTCACCTTCAAACTCATTTTTAAAATATGGTAGGGCCGGCCCGGTGGCGCAAGCGGTTAAGTGCGCGCGCTCCGCTGTGGTGGCCCGGGGTTCGCCAGTTCGTATCCCGGGCACGCACCAACGCACCGCTTGTCAAGACACACTGTGGTGGCGTCCCATATAAAGTGGAGGAAGATGGGCCGGCCCCGTGGCTTAGTGGTTAAGTGCGTGCGCTCCGATGCAGGCGGCCCGGGTTCGGATCCCGGGCGCACACAGACGCACTGCTTCTCCAGCCATGCTGAGGCCGCGTCCCACATACAGCAGCTAGAAAAATGCGCAACTATGACATACAACTATCTACTGGGGCTTTGGGGGAAAAATAAATAAAATTAAAAAATAAATAAAGTGGAGGAAGATGGGCACGGAAGTTAGCCCAGGGCCAGTCTTCCTCAGCAAAAAAAAAAAAAAAAAGAAGAGGATTGGCAGATGTTAGCACAGGGCTGATCTTCCTCACAAAAAATAAATAAATAAATAAAATATGGCAACATGCTTAATGGCCACAAACTAAAATTTAGGCAAAACTACAACTAAAATTGCACTATGCAGTACAATAAAAACGTATTCCATTGTAGCATTTCATGCAAGGTAATGGACACAATCTTCTGCCGGGGCATTAACATCTGCCCAGTGGGCTTCCCTTTGGTGACCTCACCGCGGTCTGCAGGGAGCCCGAGAGTCCTTAGTGAAGACCCTAGACTTAGCCGTCTCCTACTACTAGGGCCCAGGAATAAAAACCAGCAGACACAGCAGTCAAACAGAGTCCCTCCTCTGCCTCCTCGAAGAGGGATGTCTTCAGGGAGGACCACTGGACAAACACCGGTCAGAAGCCAGGATTCACAGCTAACTTGACCGGTTAAATCTGAGTGAGAACATCTTTGGGGCCAAAAACAAGCACCCAGGGTGCCTCTCACTTTGCATCTGCCAACGCCAGCGACTCCCGGGGCCTCACAAGTCACTTTCTCTGAGCCCATACCAAATGCCCTTTGGGTTAAATTAGACACATTTCATAAACTGTGACTAGGATGGAAATAAAGACAGGCTAAAGCTGGTTCTGGCGAGTTCAGAAAGTGAAATGACTGCCCATTAGTCCCCCGCCAGTTGCAGAACAGGGAGAAACAATCCTCCAGCAAGTGAAGCTAACGGGGGTCCTACTCCCTTAAAGGGGCCAGGAGAGAACTTTGCAGAACAGACAGGACTGACTCTTCCCTGCAGAAGAAAGAGTCCCATCAAGGGCAATAAACCTGGGGCCTCAGACCAGCAGACGCAAGACCACCTGGAGGGAGGGGGCACCTGCCCCTCAGCCCCCGCCCGCCGCCGTCCCGCGAGGCTGAGGCGCAGGTCGGCGCTCGCCACTCGCTCGCCCCTCGGCGCGACCAAGGACGCGGGAGAGGGCGCGAGTCTCGGAGAGGGACCCGGGCGGCGAGGGGCGAAGAGCAGGGAACCAGACTTCCCGGGACAGGCACCAGGCTGCGGGCAGGAAGTCTCCTCTTCTCCGACGCGCAGGGAGAGGAGAGACGGGACGGACCGGGGAGGCTGCCGCCGGCAGGTGTGCGCTCCGCGCCAGCCGGGTCGGCAGAGGAGGAGCCCTCGCGGGCACCGGGCTCCGCGCGCCCGCCTCCCGGCACGTCGGGTCCCGCCGGGGTCCGTCCGTCCGTCCCTGGGCGGGGTCCGGGCGGCTCTCCCTGTCAGTCCCCAAAGGGCGGACAGCGGGAGGCGGGGGCGCGGCGAGGGCGCTCGGGGCCCCGGGCCCCGGAGCTCCCGTCCCCGGACGTCCGACAGCGCTGCGCCCGTCGGGCGGGGCGGCGCGGCCCTTACCGCAGGTAGCTGCCGGAGTTGTGCTGGTTGTAGTGCTCGGGCTGCGTGTGCCAGAACAGCATGGCTGGAGCCGAGCCCGCCCCGAGCCGGGTGCGCAGCGAACGGGACGCGGGCCGCGCCGACCTCCCACCGTCGCCTGAAGACACCGCTCCCGCCGCGGAGCCGGCCGCCCAGCGCCTTTATGGACGGCCCGGGGGCGGGGCCGCGG